GCACACTAGAAGCTTGAGATCAAACGTCTCCCTTCCTGTTCCATTTGCAGGTGCTCGTTACGAAGGTTCAGCGCATCTGCAAGCACCTCGGTGGACCGGATCTTCCAGCTTTTCAGCAAGAGACTTGGCTCTCCATCTCTGGATTTTTGTATCAAAGGCACCATACAATCCATCGCAGATGCCTGGCAGATGCTTGGCCGTAGGCTCCTAGCCAAGGCATGGTGGCGACGACTACATCGGGGAGGAAGTCTCTCAACTGGAACATGCTTTGCAGGCAGCAGATCTCGCCCAGAGGCGCGACATGGCACAACAGTGTTAGTGCCAAGTCTCTCAGCTTGGAAGTGGATTATTGATTGGTTCTTCGAAGTTCATGACTGACCCAGACCCATGTACCCCCTTCGGCAAGGGATGACGTGATGCGTAGCAACGCGAGCCACGCTGAATTCCGTCATAACTTGGGCAAATTGCCTGTCCTCGGGACACTCATCAATCCATTGACAGGTATTTTTACGACCATTATCTATAGGGATTCCCATTGCGGTTTGGATGACCATTACCATTCCAATATTTGACTTCAGTATGTACGTTATTCATTTGTGGCAGTTTTGGTTTCGTACAATTTTGAACAGGCTTTTTGACATCAAGGTCTGTGCTTTTCTGAGATTCTGTGCCTTCCGCTGTGCACACACACACACAGTTCATCATCCCCAGAGCAGAGACTGGGTTGGCTTCAGGTCTGGTCTTGGAGCGGACGCAACCATTGCAGCTTTGCTCCATGACGTTGGGCATTTGATAGGTGCCTTACCTTGAGACTTTAAAAAGGAACCACTTGGATAGAAGATTGCCATCCCATGCCAGGACCTTATCTGTCACTTATGCATATTGATGATTATTTATAGGGGGTTTCTTGCACTGTGACCGATTTTTTCCTCTCAAGAGTTACAAAGTAGCGATGTTGGATGAGGTTGCGTCCACTGAAATCACACTCCAAGCACACAAAGATCCAACATGATCCAACTTGTGCGAATTGGTTTTCTGTAGTTGTACCATATTGTACCATCCCGTGGGTTTACACACGGGCAATTTGACTTTGTCCCTCCAGGCATGGAGGATCCTTCCAGTGCTCGGATGGAGGATTGTGGTGTGGTGGACCATGAGAAGTTAGGAGGTCAATGGCTGGCGGAGCTGGGTTTCTCTCAGCAGGTCTGCGATTTAGTTGCAAGACATGTGGATGGTAAACGTTTCCAGGTTGCAGCTCTGTGACCCAGCACCAGAATCACCAGAAGTAGAGTTTGTCCGCAAATTCTAAGTTTATGTGGGATGTTGCAATTGAAAATCGTTTTTTGCTAGTTACTTAACCGACTGAAACTGTTGAAGAGGGTTTGAATGGAACTAAGAGACTCTTGATGAAAGTTGCTGTGAGGCTATCTTTGTGCAGTCAAGAAAGACTACCATGATACCCTGAGCCCGGCCTCAAAGACAACTCTGAGACATCAGGGAGGCCCAATGACGATAGAGGCAGGGTGGTTGAGATTTTGGCCGAATATTTCCAAACACCACAAGGTTTGATGCTCGTTGAGAGAGCGTGAACCACTGAACCACTCAGCTCTTCTCAGGTGGAACCGAGCCAATTGTGACTCCAATCATACAGCATTGAAAGACATTGAAACCCGACAGTGCAGGTTTTGAATGGTTTTTTTCAATGGTTTTTGTGAAGAGCCCAGGAACCGGAGGGAACCGGAGATAGGAACCAGAACCAAGGCCTCAAGGCCTCACATGGATCCCACATCACCAGGAGGCGAAAGGCTTCGAAAAGGAGGAGCTCCATAAGACCATCGTGGCCATGCGCCACTGGGACGAAGCCGCCAAAGTCAAGGGCAAAGAGGTCCCGACGTTGGAAAGCTACCGAGATCTCCTGGAGAAAAACATCAGATGAACTCGGTACAAACCGTTTTTCTCCAAGCAGAATAGTAATAGGGACTTTTGTAGACATTTGTACTGTAGACAATTTGTAGATGTTGATTCTTGATGATTCTTGATGATGCTTGATATAGCATAGCAACGATGGTAGTATTTGTTAAGCTTTGAGCGCCAAAGAAAGGTCAGTGAGGTCCTTTTGTGGCCTTTGTGCCAACCTGGCAAGATGTGCTCCCGGAGTGACTTGTCCAGCCACCAGATTCGATCCAGACAAAAAGGACTGCGGAATCCTGCTTCGGTCAGATGACAACGTCCTGCAAAGTCTCTGATTGACATTGGTCAAACATGGTCAAACATTTAGAATGGACATTTGAATCATTTGAATCACTTGAAATGCAGAGCAACCGGCCCATGCAAATTCTGGTCCTGTTGATTCCAACACGTTGTCTCGAACACTTGAAACGAAGATCTTGGATGGAAAAAACACTAGCATTGACAACAAACCCAAGCGCACCAAACCTTTGGTTCATTGCCAGGCACACCCTTTCAGTCTTCCTGCCAGAATCGCACCTCGGAAAGGAGCGCCGCAGTCGCGCAGAGGCGTGGCAAGTCTCAGCTGATCTTCCGGCGCTTCCGGGCTGGAAAGAAGTCACTCAAAAAGCTGCTTGAAGCTGCTTGAAACTGCTTGAATCCTTCAGATCAACCAACTCGCTCACACTTGAAATCCAGATATTCAGATATTCATCATGAATCATCAAGTTAATCTGCACCAAGAAGATGCGGTAATGATGCACCAAGAAGATGCGGTAATGACATGGAATGGCAATCTCTCCGGGTGGACAGGATCGGCAGTGCCACTTGTTGGGTAGCTTGTTGCGTAGCTCCTTGCGCTGCATAGGTTGCCGTAGATGCTGGATTGATCCGCATCCATTCAGAGACATCCATCTTGGAGCAGCTCATGAGCCTTTCATCGAGCAGCTCACACAAGATGGGACCCTTGGCAGCACCTGTCCCTGTCCCGACGTCGCAATTCGTGATCTTCGAGCTCAAGCCTGGGTGGAGATGCAATGTCCATCCTGCAACATCCTGCATTTCATTGCATTTCCATGACTTTGTTTTACGTGTCTCCTTCAGCCTTCTGCTTTGTAAGTCAAGCTCCCTGCATTTGTACTTCTTGAAACATCAATTGAAGACTCGAAGACTCAAGACTTGTCATTTTTCAATGCTTGTGATGGCTCCTCTCCATCCGGTTCCCCATGGTTCCCCATCTGTCTCGGACTACCTTCCTGAGGTGAGGGATGGCACTCCAGCGCCAGTTCCACTACTGCCAGACTCTTTTCTGACAGCCTTGCCGTGCTTATCTTTCCAGCAGAATAAATGCTGCTTCAGCTGTGCTTCATGAACCTCGTGGCACAGTGATTGCTATGGAGGGCCTCTAAGTGACTGAAGTTGAATTTGTTCTTAGGCTTCATCGCCGCCGCCACAGCTGCTTGCATCAATGGTTGAGAGCTGAGTTTGAGGACATGACATCTACATACATCTACCAACAAAACTTGAGACACACACACACATAGCCATTCAATTATTTGTGGAGGTGCGTGGATAAACACATCTATAATATCATAGAATACTATCCTATATATATATATAATTTATATATATATATACATACAATTATATATATATATACATATATATATAAGACGATATAAACGCATAATATCACATATTAACATCATATTCCTAGATATTTGTGGTGCCCCAGGCCTCAACGCGTCATTCAGCCTGGGAGACCACCGGAAATGACACGCCGCCAGCAGGACTCAGCTTCGATGATTTTGGGATGTTTCTTTGGATAGTTTTTGGTATGTTTTGGTACATGAATTATTACTGTAGTTTTTTTTGGATCATTTCCCTGGAAAATAACTACTGTACTACATTGTGTTCATCAACATCATTCACTGTAGAAATTGGCGCCATGACAAGATAAGTTTTTTTTCTCGTACATTTTTTGGTTATGACAAAAGATATTACAAGCCAGGACAAGTGCGGCCTCAAGGCAATGCTGTGGGAAGGGAGTCGAGACAAGGATCAATGAGGTGTTGAGCATCGGAAAGAACCGTCCTAGGCTGTCCATGAGGTGCTACAGGTCTTAAAAGCCATGGAAAACAGAGTTTGATCATGTTTGATCCAGACCTCCGACTTGTGCTGCAAAATGAGGTGGTGATCGCACTCGAGACTTTAGTGGAGGGGCCCGGAGCTTTGACACCCTGCAAAGTCCTGGGGGTTTTGATGCCGTAAGGAAGCCGATACTTTTCCAAGATTTGCCGGTCTCTGCCACCGCTGTGACTCTGTAGCCCTTGCACCGTTTTGAAGAGCTGCTGATCAATGCATAGAGAACAGAACTATGCTGACCTGTGTTGAAAGCCCTCTTGAATCTTTTGATCCCCAAAAAAGCGTTGCATCCAGCACCAGAGAGCACTGCCTGGCAGTTCAGTGCTTGCGATGTACTTGCCCCAAGTGGTAGTTGCACAGACCAGATGGGACGACATGGAACAAGAGCATACAGTACCACCCTCCATCGGACTAGCGTAGTCAATGTCGCAGCACTCAAGCAGTGAAGCGTAACACCTTGAGGCTGCTGTGGTGGATGCCTTGAGTTCAGTAGTTGCTGGCCATGAAGTGCACAAAGGATGGTGGGTGAACATACGTGACACACTGCTGCAGAGCAACTGCGGTTGTAGTTTACTTACAGTCTGGTGATGTGCTTGAAGTATGGATCATGATTTTAACCCGTAGCGGGTGCTGGCAGTGACAAGTACAGTAGTGTGATTGAATCTGTTTTTAATGGCAGTGCATAAGCCGGGGTTGTCCTACTTTGCAAAGAATGTGTGGAATGCAGGAATATCCACACCGGATGAAAAGAAAGAAGAGGCACTGAAGTGGATTTACGGTGCTCAGCGCAGGTTGATGAGATTCCAATGAAAGGACTGACTCCAGAGACAAGATAATTCTTGAATGAGATCTGACAGCAGCGTCCAAGTCTAGTTCTGATGCGTAGCCTTGTCCCGTCCAGTACTGTCGACCAGTGCTTCAGGCCCCAAAAGTCGAGGAGGAGCCGCACGAAGAGGCTCAGTAGAGTTCAAAGTAGGTTCCGTTTCTTCTCCAGATAGCATGGTCATTGGAGTCATGTTTTTCGCTGTATCTACTACTTCCAATTTACTTTTCTTTTTGGAGCAAAGTGTTCCATACTTCAAACAGTTTTAGGTCGTGCAGAAATCAACCTAAGAAAGCCTAAGAAAGCCTAAGAATATCAATGATGTTCATTATATGATGTTCATACGGGCTGATCCCAACCGCCACACCCATCCGTCCCTTGACTGCAGGTCCGTGAGCGTCGACGGACGACCGCACCACGCGGCAAACTGCCGGCTCTCTCCAGCGCAACTTCGCCACTGAGCAGCGGAAAGGCCTCAATTTGGGGAACCGTGGAGTCGTTTCTTTTCCTTGGCACCAAAATTATACAGCAGCCACAGAAGATATTCGGCGACAGAAGCGCCAGAACTTGGTTGCAAAGTCTCCTTCAACACACAATTTGAGGAAGAAAAATCGCCAGATGGTTGCAGACAGTGTTTCAGCTATTTTAGCTTCCATCCGTTTTTATGCAGATGAAACAAACATTGGCGAAACACACACTGTGCTGTCAGGAGCTTTTGCCCCCGCTGCGTGGTGTGGGGTCAGCTGCCTTGGAGTTTTTTTGATGTTTTTTTGCACAGGCCAGAGTTTGTTGTGGCGGTGATTGTTTGTTTGCCATTTCTAGGCCATCAGGCTGGATTCTTCATGTGAAGTTGTTGGAACACTTGTTCCACCCTGTTTCTGAGATAGAAATGGAATTGCTGAATCTCTTTCTGAAGAGACACGCCTGAACTCAACTGGACCAACATGAGCCTACTATTGAGGTTGGGAAGCAGTTTGGGTTCCCGCAGCGGCGGCAGTGCGGTCTCCGGGATCCATACTCCTGAAGAGGAGGCCTGGAAAGTTCTTCCGTTGCGGTGACATCGGTGACTCCAGCTGCCGCTGCTGCTTGAAAGGTATCGCTGGGTGAGCAGTCCGGCGGAGCTTTGAGCGAACCATTGGATGAGGCTTTGCAGGGAGTGATTGGAAGAGATATGAAGAGAAGACTGATAGGAATCTTAGACCTTTGTCCAACTTTGTTCCCCATGCCTAGCATGCCTTCGCTGCATCATGATCATCATCATCTTGTGGTTGTTACTCGTTTCTGCTTCAAACAGAGCACCCATCGCTGGAAACATGTCGTGCCTCTCAGGTTGACCGGCAACTTGCCAGATTAAATCGGCCAACTGTCGGCAGAGTAGGCCATGCCTGTATAATCCGCCATCAATGTTGTGTTTTTTTTTTAAAGCGCACAGAGATTAAAATCTATCTCCTCATAGATTCATCGATCGACTTGAGCTTGCCATCGTGGATTCTTGTTGGAAAAGGAGTACTGTATTGGGAACTGGAAGCCAAGACCATCTCCGTATTCGATGCGTTTCAAATAGGGACACCTCGTTGCATCCTGTGAAGGAACAATTTGGCAGCACTGCAAGGCTTAACGTCCGACTCTCCCTTTTTGCTCGCGAGAACTCCAAGCTGCCTCGCAGGCTTGGCTGCCGCTGCCGGGCCCTCTGTGCGGAAGAGGCCCGATGGCCCTGAGGCGCGGTGCAGTGACCATAGTGAGCTTCGACGGCTGCAACACATTGGGCAACATTTTGCAATCATTAGATGATGTGTGAATTCTGAAAATGGCTTGCATTAAAAGTACACTTCAAGCGATTCGGTCATTGATGATCCCCATCGCGTGCATTCTTACTCATCAGCAACAGCAGAGCAAGCGTGTCCTGGGTGCTGATTTGTTGCAAGTCATCTAGACTATTTTGCTCTAGCGTATTTCAAGCTTGAAGAATGCCGATGGGGTCCGTCTCCTCAAGACGTGCTGGCTTCATGTTGGGCTTCATGTTGCTTCATGTTGCTTCCATTTTTCAATGTGTCTGGGTTTTGAATTCCAAGGTGACTTGATGTTTGCATACAGACATCACAGGTGAAAATAAGTAGCAAGAAGGATGATTTATATAAAGGACCACCGTTTTTGAGGCTGCCACTGGTGCTGGTGTCACAAGCCCAGTGCTCTTGTGATACTATGGCTTCTTGACGTTCTGTCCAGCGGGGCATCAATGCCTCACATGACATGCTGGGATTCCTGACCATGATATGGATGGATTTGGTTGGCCAAGGATTCAGCATCAGACGAGTCTGGCACGGAACTCGGTGTGACGGGTCGAAGTTGTTGATCATTGCTGCCTACAGGGAGTCATCAGTCATTCGTCATGAGTCATTCTATGATTTGTCTTGATGTCCTGATTTGTATTGTTTTGTATTGTGTAAGGGACAGATCTTTCGCCATCGGTCATAGGCTTTTCCTCAGTTTCACATACTGATATCCCAGCCTCAGGCTCAGGCGACATTGAGCTGACGGGCAATCGAGGCAATGTTGGCAACAGCAGCTCAGGCTGGGGTGATCACATGTGTAATTACTATGCTACATCTATGCTACTTAGTTTCTGTCAGGCCTCATCGCAAAGGGCCTCAGAAATTGAACATTGAAATCTTGTGAGTCAGCTGAGTCAGCGCCTCATCGAACATCAGTCTATTTACTGTCAGGAAGCTCCTTGGCGGGTGGGCCTGTACGAGCTTTACCCTCTGAAGGTAGCGCCCAGGCACCCGTTTCCTTGTAACTGTGCTGTGTGTGGACGTAAAAAGAGTCCTTGAGTCTCAATGAAATTGGATTCGACCCCAACTTCAGATTCGCTTCAGATCATGACAAATCATACATCCAGAATATATTTATATAATTCTATATTATTTTGTTTGTATGTATGTTAGTATGTATGTCACTGTATGTCTGTATATCATGCAAAGCGTTTACCGTTTCTTTGGGCATATTTGAACTTGGGCCCGACAATAGAAGTCGGCAGGATGACGGATTGGAGGAAGCCGGAGGGCTCAATGGGAGCGGAGAACCAGGCTAATGCCAGTGCATTTGTTCACGTTATTTCACGTTATTTCACGTTCGTTCCCACGATGTTTCCCTTCCCCAGTTTGCCATGCGCAGTTTCGCTGAGGTGGAGGAATCCATTGAGGAACTATACAGCGGCGAAGGCCTGAGTTGCCGTAAAAAGTCGTTTTGAGTTCACAAAAATGATGTGACAGGGTGTGAGGCAATGATAGAAAATGATAGGCAATGGATGGCAATGGTAGGCCACTTTGGACACGACCAGCTGAGGCGAGATGGAAGCCTATTCAGAGGCCTCTCTGCAGTTGACCGTTGCACGTGGCACGTGGCACGCCTCTTTTCTTGATCGCCAGGGCAGTGGGGTCGGTGTCGGCGATGAGTTTTGAGAGGTTGGGCTCAGTGGCTTTTGGACGGTTTTAGACCGTGCCAAGGTTCACAAGGTTCATGAAGTGTGGGGTGAACCATGGTGAACCGTATCGAATTGTATCGAGCCTTCAACAACTTTTACTCTTTTGCTTCGAGACTTGTTACACTGGAGTTTCCCAATCTCATATTATCGAACTAGTACTATTCTTGCACACTAGCATTAAAGTATTCTATCAGTTTCGATTGCGCTGACATGCGCAGCAGGATATGCGCGCCTGGCATTTTGTTTTGTTGGCCGACTGACAGCAGAGTATGAATTCGGCAGAAAACAGACACCACACGTGGCACTTCTGGACTCATTTGGACATAAAGATTCTTTTGAAGCCATCGCACAGGCGCCCAGAGCGCAGAAAGGTGCAGAGACAGGTTGGGGCTCCAAGGTTCTGAGGCTATGCGAAGTAATGTCAAAAACATTTACAGAGATTTATAGATGATATATATATATAATTATATATATATATATATTCAATATCCGTAGATATTGGTTATTTCCCCTTCTACTCTTCAGATGAACTTCAGACATCTTCAAAATTCGAGTCTATCAGCCCGTTCCACGGCACAACCTGAGGTTGGCGACCTCGCCCAGTTGCTGAGGTCCAATTGTAACGCTATGAGCGGACTGGGCAATACTCTGAGTCACTATGCCGCCATGTTCACTATGCTTCTTACGGACATGAACAGCCAAAATCGATCCAAAAGAACAGCTAGAATGATCACAAATATCATCGAACTGTGTGAAGGAAATCAGTCAAGACCTCACAACTCTGCGCAGAACAAAATGAAGGGGGAGGTACCAGGAACCTCTGTGGTGTTGCCCTCGCTATTTGTCAGCCTGCACAGATGAACTGCTAAGCTCAGTGCTTTAGGCCTTTCACCGTGTCAAAACATGATCGGATGGTCAGATGGTCTGAGAGGTTTTGAGCTCAGCAGTTCTCAGCGCCGCTGTTCAACATGGGGTCTCCTGATGCCGCATGGTAACATCATTCAACACGGACGATGTAGGTGAACCATTTCCCTGGCTTATCTTTTGTTGTTTGGTGCACTAGACTATTTCTGCACATCCTATAGTACTTATTCAAAGACAGAGACATGTGCCGACACTTGTTTGCAGAAGCGGAAATTCCATCCCAAATTTGCAAAAGGCAATCACTTTATGGATTAGTTGGGAATGGACAGGATGGCACGCCAGAAGCAGAGCAGCAAAGGCCTTGGAGACTCCCTGACCGCTCTGTCAGATGAATCGCATCCGCCTGCGTGTTTTGTGCAGCGGATGTCGGACACCGGACAAGCACTCACTTCTTTTTGTCGCATTCAGAAGCTGAACAACGAGTCAAGTGCCAATCTGGTGAGATGTACCAGTAGAACCAGTAGAAGCCATTCTCCCACTGGGACTCCCACTGGGAGCATTTTTTGCTTTTCGTGTATCGTTTGCGCTTTCACTCTAAGCCGGTCTCAGCATTCTCAGTGGAAGCAGCTGGAACAAGCTGGAGAGGTCACGCTTTGGATTTTCCAAGATCTTTCAAGCACGTATTGTCCAATAGACAAGTCAATTTCATATTGGATATGAGTACACCGCATGAGCCGAGCCAAGCAAAATCCTTTTTGACAATATAGACTGATAATATATGATAATATAGACTGTAGCTTTCCAAGCTGCTTTGCCTCCACTGCGTTGCGCTATCACATGCAACTTTGGGTGGAGAGGCTCTCAATGTCGCGCCCACGAGAGATCTGATTTTTGTGATGGAAGCATGGCAGGTTGGACTGCAGCTCTTGGCGTTTTCTGTTTACAAATTCCATGACCATTTGGACTACAGGGATCCACACGGTGTGACCCCATGGATTGAACCGTTCAGATCTTTCAGATCTTTCAGATTTCAGATTGGAGATGACTGGAACGCCTTTGGCTGCTGCCACTTGGCCTCTTCTTGCAGCGTCCTGAGAAGGAAAGAAGCTCCTCAGCTTCACTCAGCTTTGCTCATGGCTACTCCGAACCATCTCCTTAGGCCCATGAAGATAACGAATGAACCAAGCAGAGCGCTTCTAATCCAAAGGAAATCCAATGGAAATCCATGGTTGCGAAATTTGAACCAGCTGTAGCTTTAGCATTCCCTCACGGGGCTGGACAACATGTCTACTGTCATTCTTGATACGTTGGACCGATGCTTCAAATGTAGTTCCTTCTTGTGTTTGAAAGGCTCAAAAACAATGATTGATATTGATCATGTGATTCCCTAACATCGGGTTCAAAGCCCCGGCGAGCTAAGTTATCAGGTAGCGATACCTAAAACGCACAGGTGAATTCTCGACCCGAGTTTGCAGTCGAGCTGCAGGGTTGAAATTCATGCCAGGCCTGCTTTGAAGTATCCCTCTGAGCATTGCTTTTCAAGGGACCTTGTCATACTCTTCTATAATTTTGGGATACTTGAAAGCAAATGTGCCTGCATTCAAACCAGGATCAGCTGAATGCAAAAGTCTGACACATGCCTGGAAAAGGTACTTGTTTTGTTATGTATCGGTGCCAATGACTTGGGAACATCATGAGGCAGTCTTACTTTTATACCAATCAATTGTGGTGCGCGTGTTTTGATTTTCTCAGCCGTCTCATGGTATTTTCCTTGACACTGCACCTTGAAAATGAACAATGCCCACCTAAGCAATAGAACTGCTTTGGCAGGGCCGTTCCTTTTCCTGTGAAAGATCAGCGCAACCAACTCCGAGGCCCGAGGGAACTCAACGCCAGAGGAGTTGGTTTGTAATTGCTTTTGCACACAGAATTGCACCTCATGTGCGACCTCCTTGAACCTGGCGAAATCATGGCCCATGGCCAACAATCAAAATTTCATCAAACAACAATCGATTGCTTTCAATTGATTTACGTGATTTAACGCGTTTCATCATGTTTCAATCGCTTTTCAGCAAGGTCTTGGTTCAGGAAGGTTCAGATTCTTGCAACACGGATTCCAACTGCAAGTCTCCAAGACTTCTGGGCTGAATTTCATTCAAGGGAAATAACCTCGCAACCAAACATCAAACCATTGGAAGAACTCAAATTGATAACAACATACCAAGACCCGCCCCAATTACACTTATTTCCCCAAATATCCTACCAAACAATCTGATTCTATTTTAAAAACATCATCCTCCGACTAATTCATTATCGCAAAAAAAATCAAACATTTTAATTTCGAATTTAAATATTATATATCTTAAAATGAAATATATGTTAAATCATTAATATTTTAGAATAAAGAATAATTTTAGATAAATAATTATAGAAATTTAAATTATATATTTTAAATAATTAAAAACAAATACTTATGTAATCGAAGGAAATTTAAATATGAATTTTCCGATACTATGGACAGATGAAAAGCAGAGACCGGCAGAGTTAGGGATGTCAGGGAAGAAAAGAAAAGAAGAAAAAAACAGATTATAAAAAAATAAGATTTAGATGTATGAAAAGGTAGAAAAATCGCGAAATATTGTATTTTTAAATAATTTGTGGTTTTGGAGGGTTAAAAAGTAGTTTCGTTAATGCGGTGGGCGCGGAACTAGTTGGTTAGATAAAAGGAAAAATTATATATTATTATACCGAATAATATATTTATAAACGAAAAAAAATAAAAATATTTTAGATTCGGGGTATTTTTGGAAATTAAGATATTAAAAAAGGATATATTGTTATAATGCGAAATATATTTCGAAATTTAAAAATAAAATATTGGTATATTAATTTTGGATTATTTTTGGAAATATTATATGGTGTTTTATAATATATTTTTGAGGGTTTTTTAAAAATATATTTAAGGAATATAATTATATTTTTTGT